TATATATATATATATATATATATATATATATATATATATATATATGCTGCAGACTTTGACATTCAGGTCTCTTTCTGTTATCGTGTCATTTGTTGACAGAATATAACACTGAATTATTTTGCATTTATTTTTCTTTATGCATAAATATTTTTGCCCAAGTTAGAAATTTACATATTCAAAATGTCTAAAACTAAACCACTAATTAGTGTTTATAATTATTCTAGACCGTAATTAAATTTTTTTTTATAAGTTACATAAACCCACCTGTGATCTGAGCTGCTGGGTCGGGCTTTGCTGTTTGCTGGAGCTCTGTTTAGGTGTAGAATGCTGCATATCCAAACTTTCTTTATGTCCTTTAAGTCCAAAAAAAAAAAAAAAAAAAAGTCAGTGATGAAACAATCTACTGAATGGTGTTGTTGTGATGAACCAACACCATGAAGGTGAAGTGGCCCCAATATCAGACTCCTTTCATTTAACCTCCACCTGACAAATAAGTACTAAAAAAATGTCACAAATATATAAACTCATTCTACAATCAAGACAACTGTTAGTTGAAATTTGCCACACCCAGGATTAACATATATAGCTCCCTTAGATAAAGAGGAGGCCCCCAGAAATGCTGACATGGAGATGAGGAAGCCCTAGCACCCAGCAGATAAGCTCAGACTGAAGCTCAAACCTCTGATATTTAGTTTTCTTGCAGTTTTCCTCTTATTACGTCGACCCTCTGACATGCTGCCACCGTCAAAGCCAGAAGTCGGTAGTTCTTGAAGATCACAGTCCGTCCTCTTTCGTCCCTGGGGTCGTTTGGGCACCACAGCGGGGGCTGCAGCGCCGGCTGCCGGGTCTCTACTTTTTTGGTCGCTACCTAGTGGTGGTGAAGCCTCTGGAGCTGGTGGTGTAGACCTTCTAGTCGGAGATCCTGATCGTCCCTCTTCATCGCTGAATGCTTCGTTTACATAGCCCCAACTCAAAGACCTGCCCCCCTCCCCCCTTTTCAGCCCCTTTGAGTTCTCAGGCTTTACAGCGCTAGCAAGCAGGCAGGCAGGCTTAGCAGAGTTTAAGTTTTCAGAAACAACGACAACTGAAGGATAAACACAAATGCGCTCGTCCTCTTTGTCCTCTACAGCAGAATTAGCTTCGTTTCTGTACTCACCTACAAATGCCCCGAACTCTACAGCGGTGCTGTCTGGCTGGGGGGGGTGCTGGTGAAGCCCATCCTGGGCAGTTCCGGGATGGCTGGAGCCACTGGGCTGAGAAGAGGTGCTGCTGATGTTAAACTGGGCTCCAAGGGAGGGCACATTAGGCAGGCTGGATGGCGTGTCAGAAAGGCGCAGCTCTTGTGGACGGGTCAGCTTACTCTGGGTGAAAGAGTGGCCTCGGTGACGGCGCTCTGGAGGGGAAGGCGACGCAGCATTTTGGACCATGGCACTGGGGCCTGTACTGCCTGAGGATCCAGCCTCTGCAGCGAAGTGTCCTTGACCGAATAAGGCCCTTTTCTCTGGACTTAGTGCTGAATTCGTTACGGGGTCCGGCCCCAGCTCAGTTCCATGGCTGTGCACAAATCTCAGACGGCTTTCCATCCCAGCTCCTTCTGCACCAATCCCAAACAGAGAATCCGCAATGTTGAGTCCTGCTTGGGGAAAAGACGACCCAAAGTAGGCCCCCACACTGCGTTTGCCTATTACTGACGATTTAGAGTCCATTGGCACATGTGCGACACTTGGGACCACGTTCTTAGACAGGCTGAGCTCCCTGGTGATCTGAGTGTGGACCTTACTGGCCTCAGACGCCCTCTGAGCCGTCAGTGTCTTTAGGGTGTCCACAGTCAGAGCAGAAAGGTCTTGCAGGTGACCGATCTGAGAGTCCAATGTGTGCAAGGAACGCTTTATAAAGTTCACCTTGTTTCCAACCTCCTTCAGCTGCAAACACATCGTCTCGACTCTGGAAGCAGACAAAGGACTTCATTACTAACACAACACAAAGGCTGTTTCTCAATATGTGTAGCCTCAGCGCTAGTATTGTTCCAATTCACACGAACAAGAAAAATCCCTGGATGTTGTTCGTGCCCTTTCCTATTTACCCAGCATGCATCAGAGCAGACTTGTCCACTGTTGAGATTGACAGCTGTCCCAGCATGCACTGCAGCAGCAGCAGCTTCCAGGTTAGCGCTCGCAGAGCTCAGAGTATTAAGTTAAAAGTTCTCTTTTCTGTTGCCATTGTTCAATGAAAGTACGTTTTAAGATCATGTGAGGAGAGAGCATTATACTTTAAGCTTCACTATAAGGCCCATTTACTGATTTAATGCACAATAAAGAAAAAAAAATGTCCGAAGTAGAGGACTGCGGCAACCATTGGAGTTTTTTGTTTTATTAGGCAAAATGTTCATTTGATTTGTGTTTATCTGACTGTGTTAACTATAGTTCCCCCACTAAATGTAAAAAGTCTGAATTTATTATCCAGAGACTATTATTAACAGGAGGTAAAATGCAGCTACAGACGAGCCGAGCGTGTGGTGAAGTCATCAGTACGCTTCTGTACCAATTGACGCATATTTATGCTCCGTTATCCCATTCTCCCCAAGTCCAGACTTTCCTGTCTTCTTCTCAGGAACATACTTGGCGAGGACACAAGTCCATACCTGTTTTCTTGGGAACTGAGAAACGGCCATCGTTTTTATTTGTGTCTTGTGTGTAGCACCACAAAACTTTTACCGGCACTAAGCTGCAACTAGACTTAGACAACTTTTATTGTCTTTTTTGTGTATACGAAACTAAATTTCGTTTTCTACAGCTTCAATGAAATTCCCATTCCATTAATTGCAGCAGTGATCAAATAAAATTGTATGAGAAAATAAACTTGGTGCAAAACTAACAAGCATTCTTCTATTCGATTAATCTGTTGAGTATCTGCTATTATGAATGATGCTTTAGAGGAGAAGATAAGACGTCCAGACTAGCAGAAAGTTCTGGAGCGAGCATGTTTCCTGACAAAAAATGTTTCTCACTTTCAATGCAAAATGTATTAATAATTTATAGCTTTAGTTTAATTATTGCTCCGAGTTGGTTGTTCTTTGTGTGCAAATGGCTCATTTTGAGGTCCAGTTATACATACTAAATTAGATGAAAATAATTTAATAGTTGATTAATCGATTGTTGATTGACTGTATCAACCGCAACCAGCACCATTAGATATGATGGATTTGTCTGAGCTTATTGTGAGGGGAAAAAATGTAATTGTTTAATTAGACCGCCAACATGTGCCACACTTTGCTCTAAGATAACTAAACTTAAAGTAGGAAATCATTCTGGTTTTTAATCAGTGTCTCTAAACATTTCAGTCAAGTTTGTCACATTCTACAACCGGAGCGCGTTTCCTATTCAGCATCAGACGGCCCGTACCTTTCAGAGGTAAGACGAATACGCTCCTCGTTGCCTGAGTGGAACTGATCATCCTTCTCATGAAAGTACGTCTCCACACACTGCTCCTCAAAATCATGGAGCTTCTTCTGGTCTTCCTCGGTGAGAAACAGTTCTGCGAGAGAAAAGGAAAAAATTGTGTCAATACAGAATTTAGTTTATTTAAAAAAAAAAATTAAAAAAAAGGAAAAAACAAAAGCCTTACTTGGTCCGTAGGTGCTCTCCTTCTTGCTCTTTCTACACATACAGAAGAGAGAGTAAATATGGCACAGGAGGATGAAGGGGGGCGGGAGGACAGGCTTCTCGTGGTAGGCCATGATAAAGTGATAGCGCTGGTACTTCCACACCAAATTGGAAATGGACTTCACTTGGATATATACATTACTGTAAAACAGAAGTGCATTAAAATAATGGTTAGAGTACCTGAGCAGTTAAGATTTGCTCCATTATTAAGAATATAAACAATCCAACTGTTTTTCTATAACAAAGCAAATAGTAATAACAGTGAAGTACATGGTTAATTTAGTAAAAACTTATGGACTCACTTAAAGAAGGCAATAAGGAGGTTGACCATCAGAATATACTGTACAAAGAGGTAGACTGCTTGCAGGAGGGGCGTCAGCCACACTGTTTCCGAACACAGACCCCGTACTGATTCTTCGCTGTTATTGGCACACACTAAAGAGGAGAAACTGGTCAGAATGACATTAAAGCAGCAAGGCACAGCTAAACGATGTTACGTGACTGAGGATCTGAAATAAAGAAATGCAAGCTTAGGGCGCCCTCACACCTTGCCGATTTAGCCAGCATATGCCTGACGCCCCAGAATCTTCTCAAACGCTGGCATACGATGAACTTTCTGTGTATTTTTTCAATTTTGGGCTGCATATTCCACACCACATATTTCATGGCATGATGTATTTAGAGATAAAACAAAACAAAACAAAAAATTAAAAAAAAAAAGCCATTCTATAGGTAAATAGATCAAAGGTCACTTTGTAGAAATGCAGCTCAACCAGTATTCATAACGAGGCAGCGCAATTTAAAAAGCATCAGTTGCGCCCGGTCTGCATAAAAAGATGTCTTTGATCGCGGTGTTAACCTAGCTGCTGATTACCGCCCACCAAAAAAAAAAAAAAACAGAAAAGAAAAGGAAAAAAATCCATCGCACTCACATTCTCGCTCACCCGGTGATGGAGAACTGACCATTTCCTCCTGTGAACCCCCTTTAAACCAAAATGCTGCCAACACGCCATTAAACCATAGCTGTAAGTTAGAAACACGTTCAGCTGTTGTCCAGAACATGTCAGATACGTAGATATACGTTGGAGATAAGTTCTTAAAAAGTTACTTATAGGTTCTGGATAAGCTAGATGCCACAACTTAGGAATAACTTAAACTTAACGTATGTCAATGATCAGATAACCAACCTGTAACTTATGGCCCACGTACGAGCATGCAAAAATTTCCCAACGTACTAGCCGCATGTCAACTTGTGCCAGAGTGCTCAGCAATGTTTCAGTGTGCTCATAACTTATACAAAACGTAACCATAACTTATCTAATGTATGCCAGCTTTTTGTACGTCAGGCATATGCTGGCTAAATCATCAAGGTGTAATTGCTGAGGGGAATTTTTGTTTTTCTTTTAGGCTGAGGTGTCTCACCATCGATTTCATAGGCATACACTTCTCCGTACATCATCCAGTATGGTTGAAAAACCACATCCTTGGCCAGTGTCCAGCTGGGCTCCTCGTTGGGGTACAGAATGGCTTTTCTTGGGACACCATAGCTCAGTAGGACAACAGCCATTATAACTACGATATAAAACATGTTGGCCACCTGTGAGGAATGTCAAAGAGGTTATATTACTCATTTTTTCCCCATCACTAAGTTCACATGTAAAAGCAGCAGCCTTGGGAATCCAAAGCCAGCAGGACAAAACATCTTTTGTTCTCTGTAAACAAATGAGATAAGGGCTGAATACCAGCTTAAAAAAACTGTTTTGGGTTCTTTTGATGAGATGCAAGAGAAAAAAACTAAACTATGGAGCGTAGAGTAATGCAGGGATGCCCCTTCCCCACCTGTTGCTTTTGGCAGCCCGTTGGCTTCTGAGCTACTTATTACTCGCCGACATAGATTAGTATGAAAACAAAGTTGACGAACACAGCAGAGCATCCTCTCTACATTTAAAGGGAAAGCCCAGTCACATTCATAATTCAAAATTCTGAAAGTACTTTATAAATGAAATTTCATACTGTTCAATAAATGATACGTTATTTTAATTAAGAGTAATTTTCATTTGAATGTGCTTTACTGGAGACATCCATGTTTGTCAAAGAACACTACTGCCACCTAACGGTTTGTGACGTCACGGTGCGGTATCGGCTGTTGATCAAGTCCCAGTGCTGTATCTGGTGTTTGTCACAACGCGCTATTATCCAAGTCAACTTGAAAACATTCTTCTTCCAAATGTTGGCTACATATGAAGTGTTTTTTCTCTGGCCAGAAGTTTGATGGCAAATCCTCCCTCTTCAAGTTGGCAATCCAAACACTAACCCCGTTGTTGGATTGTCCGTGGAGGATCATGAATCAGAAAGGTGAAATAACCTTGTTTTTTTGTTTTGTTTTTTTTACTTTTACCTAATGTATTCCATCATCCAACTGCCATGCACATGGGCATTGTCAGTTTCACTATAGTTCTGGTGAATTTCAATGGTGAAGTCCTCTGGAAATCTTTAATAATTGTTGTTGATTGCAGATTTTGCCTGTAAAGCAGGGAGAATGGCGCTAGGCTTACCGCACCGTCACTGCTGGAAGATGTCAGGAGTGAGGTGTTACTATATTTGGGCAAAAACGGCTGCTCAGTGATCGCAACGAAAATTATTGTTTTTTTTTTAATAAATTTAATTAAATAACCACAAATTTATTAGGTTTAGGTATAAATAATGACCCATTTATTATTCCTTGCTGACTGGACTTTTCCTATAAATGAAGGCCATCTTCTCTGAGCATATTTTGGAAAATTGGAACAATTTTTATTTATTTTTTTAACATTCTCTTTGCTATTAGCAAAAACTGCTGCTAAGCTCTTTGTAGTTCGGGAGTACTCACCATTTTAGCGATCATCATGACGTACGGTCCGGCCTGCTGGTTCACAGCCAGGATGTCCAGGAGTCGGACATACCAGAAGATGATGTTGAGGCAGTAAACCGTTCTCCCTGTGACGAAGGCGCTGCCTTCACTAAACCTCAACCCAAAACCGATAAAGAACGTAACGATGGCCAGAAAATCAGAGACGTTGAAATAGTCACTGAACCACACCTTTATTTTCTGGCTTATTTTGCCTGCCTCCGACATAAACATCTGAAAAAGGAAATGAAGTCAGGAAACAATACCAGTCCACAGTGACTATAGTGGTGAACGCTAACATGATCACATCTAGCTGTGATATGAACTCTACAACTTTAAATTCTTCTAAATTTATTTATTTTATTTTTTTTAACAAACCTCTCGAATCTTCTCAATTGCAGAGGTAAAGATGTAAAGGATGACCACCCATTCTTGAGGAGAAGGAAGGTTTTCCATTTTCACTAGGACTACGAAAGTGTACAGCATCAAGTAGCCCAGGTAAAAAAGCTACACAAAGGAAACAAAGGACACAATAAAAAAAAAAGGCTAACAGCAAACAACCAATAGAACAAAACTTGTCTCCGTCTCCTTGAACCCCGGTCGGCCTGGGCAGATGGCCTCTCACAGTCTGGTTCTGCTGGAGGTTTCTTCCTGTTAAAAAGGAGTTTTTCCTCTCCACTGTCGCTACAAGCATGCTTAGTGTGAGAGATTGCCTGCGAGTCAATGAGTCGATGCAATCAACTGTTTTCCTTAGATAGAAAACTTTGAATCAATCTGACTGGATGATCTGGTGAACTGTAAAGTGCCTTAAGATGACATGTTTTGTGAATTGGAGCTTTAGAAATAAACTGAATTGAATTGTCTAAAGACAGGAAATGCAGATATTCTACTACCCCCCACCCATTCGATTAAGAGAGCACATTCAACAAAGTATGAACTACTGCAACTAATGATTATTTTGCAAATCGATTAATCTGTTAATTAAAATAGTAATTAAATAATAAAAACCAAACTGCAGATATGGCAGGGATATTTATCCTCAATCAGTGTCCTCAAATGTCTAGCATAATGCCAGGTCAGGCTTGTGAGGATTAATCTGAATAACTAAACAACTATTTAATCCAGATTTCTTATATAGATCATGTCCTTGTTAAAATCTTTGTTCATCACTGTAAAGGTTTTGAGAAAAAGGGGGACATTGTTTTGTTAAAATACTCAAAACTAAGAAAAACAAAAAACAGCAGGTTGATCAAAGTGTAGACCGTGGGAAATGTATAAGCCAGTCTTATGTTGCATCTTTGATTAGGCCAACAGTTTCTAAAGCCATTGAACTTTGACATTTTACACTTGAGGTAACGGGAAAAGAAAAACAATCTGTCCCTCTCTCCCATGACTGCTATGGGGCAGAGTTAGCCTGATGTGCTGTGATCAGGACGAAGGCAGGTACAGCTGATGTAGATAAGCATGGGTTTAGGCTAAATTATGTAGGCCGGCGTTCAATGATCTTATCTGCACCCATCACTCTTAAACAACCTGAAAAACAACATTATATTTGCAAATAAGCAGAAACAAGCAGTGTTGGATCCCATGCGCCAGGGAAACTGCTTTAGGCTATGAATACCTCCAACTGGGAACAGATGAGGCAAGTGGGCAGAATTTTAGTCAACTTTACTTATGACTTGACCAAAATGTACGACGGAGTATTAGGGGCCAAGTAAAAGATATTTACATTTTTTTTATTTTGTGAATAAAGTCTTAACATTATGAGAAAAAGCCTTAATATTACAAGAATTAAGTCGTAACAATACGAGAATGAAGTCATCATACAACAACCTGTTTCAGAAAGAAAGCTTCAAGCTCTGACCAGCTCCACCAAACGGCAATCCAAGTCCATTTGATATTCTGCCCAATTTGGTGCTGGTGCTAAAAGATTTCCTTATTTGTCAAACAAGAGCCAAAGTATAACTTCAGATAATGTTCGACATTCCTCAATTTAGGGAAGAAAGGGCTTCTTGTTAGCCTAGTAAACTAGCCCTGCCATCCAGTGGCCAAAATCATTTTTGCCTGCGAGTGGTCAAGCCTTGATCAATGCTCCAGACCCTAGAACTGGCAGGCCAATCATAACGCAGAGATGCGTTTTGAATTTTTCTGGATGCAAAGCGGGCGGGGGTCAGAGGGCATGATGACAAAGCTACGCAATGCTGGAGAAAGCACAACAAGGAAGATGGCAACAACTATTGAACAGTTCTTGTTTGACTCAGCTTTGGAATCAGTTTTGGAAGGATTAGACTTTGGGTTTTTGTTGAAAAGTGAGCAGGAAGAGGCTCTACGTATTCGTCATTTTACCGACAGGCTGTTCGTTTACATTCCCCCACCAGCTTTCTGTCGCGCTTACTATGTCACAGTCATTTGCGCTCATTGGTCAGAGTGTTGGTCAGTAGCCACAGACATGGTTTGAAAAACAACGGGGTTGTTCTCATCAACAATCTTCCAATGTCTCATTCATCGGGGCCAGACTAAATTACACATTTAATCTCACACATAGTCTGGTTCATCAGGTTAGCTTCTTGTAGGAGTTGTCAAAATACAACTCGTTTCTCGTAATGTTACGACTTTATTCCCATAATGTTACAACTTTATTTACGACTTAAATTATTATCGTTAGTGCAACATGTCAGTTTGGGCAAAACACAAATGTGGGAAAGTAAGAATTCCTACCTTTAACATGCAGATAGATGAGTTGTACTGAAAAGTCATAAAAATCTGAAATGTAGCTTTATTTTACATAAATGATCATCATACCGTGTTGGACCAGAACTTGACAATAGGAGCGTGGTAGAAGGCGTAGATCTTCCTCGTTAAAGGCAGTTTTCTGGAGCGGACTTGTGTCTCCATGTCGTTTTTCACCTCCAAATGTTCGTGAGTTCTGGTTTCCTTTAAGACGTCCTGTGCAAATGATAAAGTAGCAGCCTTGGATAAATGAAGGTTCTTACACACTAACGGTGCAACCATCCTGCCATCTTTATAAAAACCCAACAGAGGTTATTTTTTGTGCGTTTCTCCCAGCTTTTTTAAAACTTTTATTGGTTTCATTGTTGAGGACAAAGAGGGAGGAGTAAATCCTACCATTGGAATGTCGTCAGCCATGTTCTGAAAGTTGTGTTCGCTGTCCTCCATGGTCATTTGGTGGTCGTCTTGACTCTGAGGGATGTGAGCCATCTCAGCTTTGGATTTGTACTCCAAAAGCAATATGGCAGGAGGCACCAAGATACTCAGAATCACCTGGGAGAAAACAAATACACACTCATGTGGGTGGCTGCTGCTAGATTAGCTGAGAGAGTCATTTAATCATATAGACATGCGTCCTGGTAAAGTGTATTATTAAAAGGAGATTCACTAATTCTATTTAAAAAAGAGGAGAAAATCCTCTAATACAGGGATTGATTACAGAGACTGAAATATTTAGGTGTTTATATCTGTTCATTTGATTATCTTTGTAAAAATATTAACTCAGTTTTCCAAAAAAAAAAAGGCATATTTCATATAAACAAAGCAAAAAAAAAAAAAAGAAACATTTACTTGACAGAAGATCAGAAAACAGTTCCTGACGCCCTCTGTGATAAGACAGTAAGATCACCAGCTGTTCACAGAGTGCTGTACCCCTGCTATTCAATGGAAAGTTTAGTGGAAGGAAAAAGGTTCATACAGTAATTGACAGAAAACAACCTCAGGTAATTTTTTTAAGCAGAGTCAAATAAAATGTTTGGGCGGAGATCAACAAGATACGAATGGTAGCTAAGGTCAGAACTTTTGTATCCAGAACATGGACGTTGTGTTAAGCCAAACTGGATGACATTAGAAACATCTTTTTGGGCTAAAGAAACAAAAAGCAAACCTTTGATTAGTGGTCTTCTTTTAGGGGAAAGTAAATAACCACGAATAAGAAGGCAGAGAATCCAATAGAGCCGAGGTCCAATGTTAGTAGAGGGCTATAATAGAGAACCATATATTCTGCATTGGTCTATCAATCCAGCAGGGACATCAAACATTTCAGAGCAGCCCGTGGCTCCCTCTGCTAACAGGCTTTATGCAGATTTCATTATCAAGCTCTCTGTTAGGACTGGCCGATAAAACAATGACCATTTACATCACAATATAAATGTAATCAATAAAAAAAACAAGTTTAATAATTACTGATTAAAGGTCTTGAACTCAGGGCAACTTAACCAGAAATAACAGGAAACACAGAGGCACACGAGGTATTCTGGGGAATGTAGTTTAGAGGAGAGCATCTAAGCCATTAGTCACTGCTCGGCTAACTAGCAACAACAGGCGAAGTGGCCAGCTAGTGCTTTCTAAACTGCGCCGTAGTGTTTGAAAACTAGAGTGGATGGTTAGAGGGAATGCAAATCCTAGCACAAGGGGAGACAATGAGCAAAAACAGGAAAGGTGTTGTCACCAGTGTGCTCGTATTTTGCATGATTGAAGTCCAACAAGAGTTAGAATGATGCTGTCTGCAAGTCATGCCCGGTCACCATGCCGACCAAATCAGGCAATACTACAAACTTATTTTATCACCTGAGCCGGTGTTCTGTCAGATGAACAAACCCCGTCAGACATAAGATGTCAGATATGCGCTGATCACTTTAGTTTTGTACGAAAAATAGACTTTAAACTACCTCAACGGTTGTGTATCCCTTTAGTGATGTAGAAAAAAAAAAGACAATTTAAGGTCAGATCGCCATAGGCTTCAAAAAACACCAAAAGCTAAGTAATTAAATACCTTTTTTGCACATGACTAAAGGGATACACACCTGTTAAGGTAGTTTAAAGTCTATTTTTCATACAAAAATAAAGGGATAAATGGGTATGGACTATGGATATGCTGGTCTGACTCCACTGGAGTACAATAACCTAAAGCCATCATAAACTTTTGTCTTATTCCGGTACAAACGGAGCAGCAGACCAACGTTGAGGTACAAAGCATTAGCGTCATATGATAAAATCATTAATGAATAAAATATTATTTGCTAAACTTTTTGCACATTTGAGCTTTTAAAATTTTATCTAACAATTTTTTCTTGTGTTGTCATTTTTGAATGGGAACAGCCAAAGGTTTAATTTAAAATAAATTCCTTTTAAGGTAAATTCAGCCTTTTTTTCCCTCCTGGTCTTTATTTGCATAGTATCAAAAAAAAAATGCAATAATTATCAATATTAACCAATATGAAACCTTATTTTATGATATGTTTGTTATATCACCATATCGCCTAGCACTACAGTGACGACCATAATGTACAATCGCCATGGTAACAGTTTATTTAGACAGATCTAGCCTGACCTAAACACTGCAGAGGATCTATGGATGATTATTGAAAGGGAACTAAAAAACACCAACGCTGCATTAAAGCCTCTTGTCTCTTCTGCAACACCTCAGCGGTCAGTGGCCGGCCGCTCCATGCAATGCCGCATGAACACAGCACTACATGGAAACGGTGCATCTAAAGACTTATTATTCAGTGAGGCAGCATTTCTGTGTTAAAAAATGGGTTTAGAACTTTGTTAGAGACTTAAATGTTGCCTTTTCATTAACTGTAGTTAGTAAGTTCATTTACAGACATACATGAAACTTTTTCTAAAAATTCGTCCAATCCGAATCATATTATAGATGAGATACAAGTGGAAGTCACATTAGAAGCTACAACTCAGCCAGACCATCTGCTTGCAACCAAAAATGAGATCTAGATGGAGCATGAACCTTGTACCAGGAGTTCTTGCGCATGTTCAGCCGACCCATCCACATGTCTGACAGCAGCATCTGGGTGCAGGTGTGAGCGACAAAAGGCCGCAGATGGGAGGAGACGGCCAGCTTCAAACAGGTGGAGTTACTCCAGTTCTTCAGCTCATAAGTCAGCAGCTTCATGGCCATGGTCTCATCCTGCCTGAAGGACTGCTCCAACAGGTCCACTGCAAGCGTCCCAAACTCACTGATACACATAAAGGTTGTTAAAGCCATGATATTGCTCCAAAAATGATTAATTTCGGAATGCTTTGACACCTTACTTTGAGTACTCTTTAAGCTCCTCTGAAGTGTCGTCCACCACGTCGCTCTTTTTGGCCTCGTAGCTCATCGAGCGGCAGAGTTTACAAGCTACGAGCGCCTTGGCCATGTTCTCCTCCCCATGCTGCCAGAAGAAGAGAGACATTTTCTGCCTCTTCATCAGTACAGCCCAAACTAAGAGCTCATTGAAAGGGTAGGAGAAGCGGCGCGTCTCTGGGTCGTCGATATCCACTATCTCCTCTTTGTTTCTTTTCTTGTTCTGCTCAGCGGTAGTCTGCAGCTGAAAAAAATGAGGTGGGGAAAACCAAAGAGAACAAGGCTGTTATTGTTTCATCAGACTTAATGGAAGCAAAAAAAAATCTAAACTTTTAAAGCGAAGGAATGTGTTTGAAAGAAACGTGTTTACTACTGAGCAGCAGCAGGGTTTACCTTGGGTTTGTAGGGCTGTGCGGTCTTGATGAACTGATTGTGTCTCGTCTTCTCCTTCTTGTCAGCCTGCATGCTGAAAGTCTCATGACTTTTTCTCAGATGAGAGCCAGGACCTGCACCATATCGCCCAGACCTCTGCGCCGAACACAAACATTTAAAAATAACTTAATTCCATCCCAACTTTAATGACAAAAGATGAAATAATAAAATCCTGTCCTACAGATCAAACCAGCCAGGTTTTCCTGTCCTAAATCAATCACCAGTCTATGAGACAATTACCCCTTTTTTGCCTCTTTGGAAATGATTGAAGAAGATGTTTGAAGCAGAATTAGCTTCTCATATCACTCACCCGGCTGTCACCATGAAGATTGTGGTAAATGATTCGGAAGCGCTTCCTGGTGTAGTTGCACCTGTAAGTGCCACCCATCAGGAACTCAATGACCAGGCCAATGTCGATCAAAGTAATTTTATAGTTTGGGGGGAGGTTACTCTGCAACACACAAACCACAAAACGTTAGGAAAGGCTGCTTCAAGGAAATTAAATCAAGAGTTAGGAGTTAGAAACTGTACCTGTTTAACATCTCTAACTAGGTGGAGCAGAGTTGGGTTGTTGGGAGGTTGTTTCTGAAACAGATCATATAGAAAGAAAACTCAAACACATGTAGGTTAGTATTTAAGGATGAACGAGTGGATACGCATTTCGTGAAGGTTACCGTGTTGTAGAGCTCCTCTAGGCGACTGATTGTCAGGAAACGGTGCATGCTAACACCATTTTCTATGAGCAGCTTTACAAAATCCACCCGGTCCATGATGAGAGCATCCAGCATGGCTTGTTCTAAAGAGCTCACCTAAAAACAATAAACTAAAATTATAAGACAGCTATGAAGTATATTTTTATTGCATATCATCATTTGAAAAACAAATATATTGAGAGAAAGGACAAAATATCTGGCTAAATGAAAACCAAAACAAATATCCATCCTCTTATTTACGTAGGAGTCCAGATTTAAAAACAAGCACATAGAGTCACTCATGTAAACAAATGTAATGGGGTTCATGTTACAGCCAAGACAAGCAGCTCCTGGCAGCCTGCCCAAAAATCTGTAGCCATCAGGGACTCCAAGGTCGATCCGCTGGAGTCCAAAGGTTTTTTTAGCCGATGCTGAGCTGAGCAAACATCCCTGGGAGCCGTGGCTCGCTCACACAAACAAACAAACGTGTGGACGTACCAGAAGCTGCTGCCCGTACACAAACACGTGGTTCTTGGCGATGTCTACACGGTCCCAGGCCAGAGTCAGGACAAGCTGATCGAAGGCAGATGCATTAGTGCCTGAAACAAACGGAGTCACTGGTGTTACAGTCAAATAAACACATTTATTCAGAAACAAATGAAAACTTAAACTCCTGTTTTAGCTGAAGGGTTATAAACAGAACAGGTCCAAAGAAAGAGAGAAACGGCTTCAGATTAGGAGAGATCATCCATGATCGATGTGCTGATATCTTTCATAGAGATCAGCTTAGTGGCCTCTGCAAGCCATCTAGTTCAGACGACTAGAAAACACAACAAGCTCATCACTATTACAATGAGATGACATACCGTATTTTCACGACTATAAGGCGCATATAAACGTCTTTTTT